TGTGTGTGTGTGTGTGTGTGTGTGTGTGTGTGTGTGTGTGTGTGTGTAGCAGGACCTTGCTCAAGCTAGCCTCAAACTCATGGCAATCCTCCTGTCTGAGGCTCTGGAATGCTGAGATTATAGATCTGCATTATCATATCCAGCTAGAGAAGAACGGATCCTCTGCTGGAGAAAAACTCATGTATCAGTTAGCTTCAGCGAAATTAAAACCCTTGGTGGCAGGGATGGCTCCACAGTAAAGAGCATTTAACACTAGAAGCCTGGGATTTGGCTCCCAGCACTCACAAGGCAAGTTACCACCTTCCCTTACTCCAGTTCCAAGGAATCTAGTGCCCTCTTCTGGCTTCTTTGGGCACTGCATGCATACGGTGCACATACATAACATGCAGGGCCAAACACTCACACACATAAAATAAAAATAAATAAACCTTTTAAAAGTTAAAATCGCCATAAGGATAGACAAGGCAAACAGAATTCGCATCCTACATCTGAAGGTCCACAAGAGTCTAAAAAGGTAAGGGGCCTTCCGGCGGTCTGTAGGCCACATCAGCAGCACTTATGCATGGCAAATTTGCTCCCCAAGGGCCATTTGATGATGTCTGCTTTCAGTCATCAACCCCTAGTGGTAGCTTGGTATCTGGGAGACCGAGGCTAGGATGCTGTTAAACATACTGCAATCTCCCATCTCGCTGGGATCAAAAATTATGCAACGCCCCCCATGACCACAGTACTGAGGCTGAAAAAAACTAAAAATTCAGTTTCCAAACTTACTAGGTCTTTCTGCAACTTACTAGTGTTTTCTAACTTAGCGGCACCGTGGCCAGAGACTGTGACGTGAGCTATGCTGATCCTCACCTCTTCGAGGCTTTGCATTCTGTGGTGCTGCACACTTGTGACCCCAATGCTAAGGGGAGAGAGACCAGGGGATGCCTCCACTCACTGGCCGGCAGCCTGGCTTATTCTGAGAATTCCAAGCCAATAAGAAACCATCTGTGGCCCCCTCAAAAGTGCTGATTAATCTGAATAAAACAAAACTCTGGCTACAGTGTACACAGAGATGTAGCATGAAGCAGAGAAACCTCTGCTCAAATACACGGTTGTAAGAAGTTAAGAAAAATTATAGTGAGCCAAAAAGTTTTAAAACTGCAGTGCTGATCATTTAAAGTTTACCGTATATTATCACGCAGATACCAAACAGGTAGAATGAGCCAAACAAAAGTTATGCAAGACCTTAATGGAAACAAAACATGAATTATTAAAAAGACATTACTAAAGACTCAGATAAATGGAGAGCCATACTTTATTCACGAGGAGGAAGATTTGGTATAACAAAAATACTACCTCTTGGGGCTGGAGAGATGGCTCAGAAGTTAAAAGCCCTGTCTACTCTTCCAGAAGACATGGGTTCAATTCCTGGCATGCACATGGTGGTTCATAGTCCACTGTAACTCCAGTCCCAGGGGACCTGAAGGATATGACCTCTGGCCTCCACAGGCACCAGGTAGACGCATGGTGCACACATATATGCAAGAAAAACACCCATACACTCCCCCCCCCAAAAAAAAAAACATTGGTGAGTAGATTAAAAGTAAGAGAGTTACCAGGGAGCAGCAATTTAGAATCAGTGGAAGGATAAGTATGAGGGGGAAAAGCAGAGAGCACTGTGCTTTCTGACATGTTACAAGAATTCCCTTAAGAGTCAAGCTTGAGCCTGAATATGAATGTTAACACTCAACAGTTTACTGAAGGGCAAAGCCAAGACAGTAAAACAGTAAAGGAAAGAGCATAATCAAACAAATATGTGTGATTACACGGACAATAAGATTTCCCATGTAGAAACAGCAACACCGACAAACCAAATGCTGGGTTAGTGAGAGATCAAAGTTTTGGAATCTATGATAAATATAAAAATATAAATAAATAAATAAATGATAAATAAATAAATAAATAAATAAAAGTCTATAAGGTAGCAACAAACAGGAAAAGTGTGAATTTCAACAAGATACCCTTTAAAACAGCAACAACACCTCACATTTAGTAATAAATCATTTAAAAGAGAAATAATGAAACTTGAAGAGTTAGGCAGATAGCTGAAGATATATGCCATAAGCTGTGTGTGTGTGTGTGTGTGTGTGTGTGTGTGTGTGTGTGTGTACAGGTACACATGAATATGTGTGCGTGTGTATGTGTAAAGGCTCAGGTATTCTTCAGGCATCATCCATCTTGATTTTTTGAGGCACAGATGGTTTCTCACTGGCCTGGAATTCTCAGAATAGGCCAGGCTGGCTGGCCAGTGAGTTCAGGCATCCCCTGGTCTCTGTCTCCTCAGCACTGGGGTCACAGGCGTGCAGCACCACAGAATGCAAAACCTCAGAGAAGGAGGATCACGTCACAGTCTCTGGCCGTGGTGCCATTAAGTTAGAAAACACTGGTAGGTCACAAAGAGACTTGGCAAATTTGGGAAACAAAATGTTTGTTTCTGTCTATTCTGTACTGAGCCTTTACCAGGTACAAGTTCTATAGGAAAGAAAAACAGGTATAGAAAGTACGCACCATGGAGAAACTTTCTGAATTTCCTCTCTATGTATGTAGATCGGCGGACCTTAGAAGAAGACCTAAAGGCTTCCCAAAGTTATTCCCAAGGATGGGCCAGATTTTACTGATCTGTTCAATGATGAAGTG